GTGTGGAATCAAGCTGTAACCAAAAAAAAAATTATTGCGCGTCGACGACACAGCAGTTAGGAGTCTCATCGACCATGTGTGTGCCCCGGGTTGCAGTCTCCGGCCGACGAACACCTGGTATCACTGGTTGGCCTGTAAAATTTAGGCTACTGATATCACGTGCTGAAAATTCCATACTTGTACCGAAAATACTGTGTGGAATCAAGCTATAATAAAATAAAAAATAAAAAAACAATAAATAGCATACCTCCATTTCATTCTGTTCTCCACTGTCTTCATTAACCGGCTCTAAAAATGCCCCTAAGTACCTATCAGCTCCTCGCGTGATCTCCTCGATGTTATTGCCGGACTTAAGCTCAAATCGTCGTTTCCTGTTCTGGTTCCATTTGAGCAAGGGACTGACGTGTGATATCACTCAACCTTCCTCTCAGTGTGTTTCCGATCCATCTCCTCTTTTCTTTTTCACATTTGTTGGGGAGTACGTACGTTGGTTGTTACGTTCTCTTCCAGAGTTTTTTATTGCCAATCCTTTCTGTCAATCTAATCTTCACTATGGAGCCAAAAAAGATACCTTTTGATAAAAGTCTTCGACAGGCTGTTCAAAGAGCCTTTATGTTACGCGTTCACCAAGTCTTTGAACTATCTAGAAGCAATCACTGGCAGGGCATTATTATTGAAAATCCAAGTCTTGTTCTTGACACTGATTTCAGAGTAATGGAGGTTCCCCTTGCTTTTCGGGTGCTTGCTTGCTTTGATATCCTCATCCGTGCCGCCTGCAGTGGCAACGATACTGTCCTAATAAGCGGGAGAGATAACCTCTTTCAAATTCCTCCCGCTGATACTGACTAGTGCCTATTCTTCCGGGCTGGCAGGCATTTTCATCACCTCTGTCTTTTCTGTGTTCACCTGAAGTAGTTTCTTGACTAACTGCGTCTTTTGCCAATTTTGTCATTTTTCATTTGTAAATATTCGAGGTTGTGTGACATTAGACAAAAATCATGAGCTATGTCGAGATGTTCTAGAGTCTTCTCATCGGTCAACAAGTTGTGAGTGAAGGTATCGAAAAAATCTTTGGATGATTCATTTTATCGTACATTCATCTAGACAGATGAAAGCCGATTCAGATATACATAGATGTATTATAATTCATAGTAATTAATTAAATATTTAATATAGTGAAAATATTCATTCAGACATATATAAAACACAAAATAATCGAGCAAAGAATGTCCTTTTCGATAATTTCCTTTTCTGACTCTACAATTAGATATCTGTATGTTTATATCGGTAGAATATTCTAGAATAGTAGTCAATAACACTTTTAGTGTTTTTTTAAATAATAATACCGATTTGTAAAGTAAGATGAATGGAATTACCACAGTTCATTAAATATGCTTAAATAGTAATAATAATAATAATAATAAAGATATAATAACAAATAGAATATCAACTAAAATCAGGCGAATTTCCAAAAAAATTGAGGACCATTCAAACCTAGATGGCCAAGGTTAGGACAGTGTCTGAACTAACTGCTTTTAGACACATAAATTAGCTTCTTAATGTGGATTAAAACGGCCTCAGCAATATTTAGTAAACGGACTCTTAAGGCGAAGTTGAGATTTGTTGGTATGTGGTAAATGACCCGGAAAGCCTGGTTAACATCAATCTTGTGTTCTGTGTCTAAAAGATAAAAAAGAATAGCGCTTCAGATAGATTTTGTTTGTCCTTTACTTAATAACGCAGGGTGATATTCGGAAATTTGACGAGAAACACATCTAATTGTATGTCCTATGTAACTGGCTCCATGGAAGAGGTGCAATTTGGCAGTTTATCTCTTACTGCCAAACGCAAAAGAGAAGTGGATTTGAAGACACAGTGTAATTCAGCAGCAGGAAATGCTCTTTTAACCTCATTTACAAGGTGTTTTGTTAGCATCTCGCTGGCGCTGTCCCCAAAAAAACTGGATTTTTAAGAATAAGGCTTTTTTAGGAACTGTTGGTACCTAGGAATGCTTTGATTTTAGATTGATGTTCTCATCAATAAACTTTTCTGGATAAACGTTTTCACTCAGCAAGTGTTTAGTATTATTAAGTTCCTCATCAAGACATTCATCCAAGCACATTTCTCTTGCTCTGTGAACCAAGTATTTTTTCAGATTGCATTTGTATTTTAAAAGCAAAAAGCTAAAAAAATGAGTATACTGACAGTCAGTTGATGTAGGACTTCTATATACACTTCTTCTTATTTTGCCATGAATCTCTGACAAATTAATTTGTAAATAAATACGCAGGATACCTTCTATCTTAGGAAGTATATCAAAAACTCAACTCTATTTAAGAAAGTGAAGAATACGCCTAGAATTGTAAGTTGGATTTAGTTATTATGAGAATAGTATTTTCCTGTGAGTTCACAAATAACCAAACTATCATTGTATCGATTTGTACTCTAGAAAATTTACTATTTTAAAGATGTCATCTCAATAAGCATAATATTATTTTTTTAATGATACTTACTGGTTTTTACATTATTGAGTAAAATTTGTTTTTGCAGAGTGAGCGATAAAGTATCAACAACGGGATGACGATTCAAAAACAATTCATCAACGCTCATAATCATTTCAGCATATATTCACACCGACCTACTAGTTTAAGCTGTGTAAATGATCCCATAGTCATTGAAATGTACGAACACATATCACGAAAATGAGAGCAGTAATGTAAGCGATATGAATAATATACATTATAAGGAATTTATATCCTCGGTAGTACTACGGTATGAAGAAGAAGCATCATTATTCTAAATGACGCTGGAGTTAAGATGGCATTTGAACCAATCAACTTCTTCAGAAATAAACTTTGTCTGCTTAAGTACCCAACAGATTCAATTAAGAAAAATTAAATCGGTTACAGAACTATTTTAAAACCACCAGAAGGTACTGGATAGATGTTTTGTCAGCCTGGTTTGAGACCCCTCATCAGTTTGCATCCACCACTTGGGTTCGAATCCAGGACCTTTTGATTAAAAGGCCAGCTTGTAAAAACATTAAGTCATTGCGATTGGATCCAATGGTCCATGAATTCCAGCTTCTGTCAGCTCAAGATATAGTGAGATCACTACCGAATGTCACGGGCGAGTATATGTTCTCACGCGTGACAGCTGTCCAGTACTCCCAGTGTGGTGAGAGCAGGCCGTGAGAAAATATTAGCAAGGCTGATTCAACAACCAATCACAGCAAAGTTAACGTGGCAAAATATGATTCGCAGATAGAGAACTCTATTTGTCGAGGAATCCCGAAACAACCAATCAGAAGCCTGCGTTTGTCTGCCTAACTTCTGATAAACAACCAATCAGATAACTGCGCTTGTCTACTTGCATAAGCTATAATAATGTATGTGAAATATGTATAAATACGTGTTGATTTTCATAATAAAACGATCTGTTGCCTGGCCCTTGTCTTCTGTTGTTACACCAGGTTTTCCAGTGGTTCTCTAACTGATGACAACTCACGATGAAATCATGTAACCAATCAAGAAAATCCCTACAAATCAATACTTAGAAAATAAGATTTACCAAATAACTGTGAGGTTAGCTATATAGGTTAAACTAGTAGTTTGGGGTGAAGTAGATTATTAGAATTTAAACCTTAGCTAGACCTAGAATCATTGACTTTCTCAAGTTGAATAACTTGGAATAATGATCAGCCACTGCAATGCATTCACTTGCATGTCATCACAAAATAGGGTAGGGAATGTTTAAAGCATTAAAAAGTTATATAATTAAGTGGCGACACAGACGCTGAGTCTATTTTATCGATTCAACGCCGCACATGTGTAACCGAAATGACCCTTCACCTATATCGAAGATGTATATATATATATATATATATATATATATATATATATATATATATATATATACATTAAAGCAAATTATGAAGCCTTTTGAACAACAAATGGTTCTCGGAAAGTCATTCAGTTATGAAAACTGCATCACCGTGTATGTGTTACATCACTGTAGGAAACCTTGATATAAGTATAAAACTTGGGCACTGTGGTAGAGTATAATTCCATTATAGATAAGATTTTATTTTGATAAATCGCACAGTGTTTACAGTAATGTTTACTGATGACGTTTCGAGCACAATTTATTGCTCATAATCATATCACCTTGATATGATTATGAGCAATAAATTGTGCTCGAAACGTCATCAGTAAACATTACTGTAGGAAACCGTTTGATATAGACATAGCACACAATCCAGTCAAATCGCTTAATTCGATATTATACGAACCGAAAGATCCAACAGAAAAAGGAGATAAAATTAATACCATTTACAAAATAAATTGTATGAACTGTAACAGGTACTATATTGGCCAAAGTGGGTGTCCCCTTCGAATCACAATCCAAGAACACAAATTGGCTGTATAAAGGCATGATGTATATTCTTCTATATCAATGCACGTAGATAATTATGAAAATCAGTTTGATAGAGATAATGTTGAAATTTTAAACAGAGGAGACACCAAAATCGCAGTCAGGGAATTCCTAGAAGCCTGGTACTCAAACGAATATGCAATTAACAAACACATCAATATAGACCAAATATACCAACTAATAAAAAGTAAATCATGTGACCATAAAGTTTAAAATCTAAGTCAATAGAAAATTATCTATACATATCTAAGATGGCTACCGGGAGACGCGATTCTATCACCGGTGGAAAATTTAAATCATTTCAGTTTATGGTAAATATTGACCTGAAGATGTTGTCCAGAAGGAGGACGAAAGCTCACCATCCAGGCCAGAGAACACTATTAATTGCAAATCATCCACACGAGCTACAAATCTCTTTTATTTCAATGTGGAAATACATTCTACTGCAGTGTTCAATTTCTTCAAGTATTTTACTGTAGTTGAAGATAATTCTATATTAGATAACTTATCCGGTTATTGAGGCTCTTAAACGATTTCACTTTTAACGTTTTGTTGATCGATTTCAGTGTGACTTCTTTTCTATGAATTCTGAGAAAAAACAAATAATATCATCTAATCATGTACACAAATGAAAACAAGAGGCCCATAACACACTAAGTGGTTAGTTATTAGATGAAGAACAAACTGAATATGGATTTATTTACGAGTTGGATCACGAGGTGTCATCATCTAGAGAACGGCTGTAGAACTGGGGACTGTTGGACAGTCATTCCATTCTTGTCGGAAACTCTTCAGCAACAGATACCCACCAGGGTTCAAACCTAGAATCTTTTCACCCACAAGAGAAGGTCGAGGATCTTTCTAATTCCTGCGAATCCGGGATGTTTGTAGTGAGACCGTAAGGTGATGTCACTAGCGAGTAAGTGTAGTCTTACCTAATCAAATTTCTGTGAATTAATGCTTAAGAATATAAATTTTCGTCTAAAATTTAGATTATACCTATACAGATTGAACTTTCGATTTAATTTTAGGTTAAATATGATGAAAACAGTTGAAAGAAAATCGTTAATTGATTACAAGAAATCGCAAAGGTGTTGATCAAGCAAGATTTTCATTTATATATTGCAATTCAATTACCAAACGGATAATACCTCAAATCAATGTTTGCTTTCAACTGTAACGTTGCAATATTCATTTTGCAAACATACTTACAAATATATTTTCTGCGTCAGATTTACTGCAATGACTGTGTACTACACATTGATGATTTAAATAATTGCGCAAAATTAGTTGGAATTAAAAGAATTCCGGAGAAGCATGAAGGATTTGGTTTCGGTTTTGGTTCAGTCAGTGATGTGGAACACATGTGTAGGTAAATGGAACAGTGATTTTTAATACTTTGACGCTAATTTTCTAAAATCAATTTCATTTCTACTGTTTATTTTTGGTTGTCAGCCTACTTTTTCTTTAGTTTATTGTTATTTTAGAGTGAAAGGGTGGTAAATTTATGTAAAATGTCTATAATTTTTATTGTAACCTATCGTAGTTCTATTATGCTTATCTATGTACTGTATTCGAGTGCGCTTTATTGACAGTCAACCTCGGTTAATCACATGCTAAGTAGTTGCGGAATAAGAAATAGTTTAACATTCGGTTGAGTTGGGTAATACAATAATCAGGGCATACTTTTCAAATCTTAAATTACATATTATTAGTCTAATTCACTTGGGCTCTATGTGAGACATGGGGCTTTAACAGCTCATTTACAACACTGTACATCATTTAATTCTGTATATTTCACTGAGTAATAGGTTCTTGGCTGATTTGCTGCCTACCACAGTTCCCTGTTGTTAATTCTTTCAGAGGGTTATCTCATTCCAAGAAATCTTTATTAAATATTTTCTTTGGCGAGTGAGGTCGCTGAATTATATTGAACCCACCGACTGACTTGACATTCATCTTAACGATGTGAATTGTTTTTCGTATGTTGAGTGCAGCAGATTTCATCCTATATTGTATGGCTGTGAGTAAGTGCATATAGTGATTGCTATGGCTGAACTATTCTCTAGATTTCTTATCTTATTCGGGTCAACTAATCTAGATTTTGCTAGGTATTTATGCTCGGCTAGTCTGACTGTCCCTCTTCTACTAGTTTGACGTATGTATTTGACCTGACAATCATAGCAGGGTATTACATAAACTAAATTGTTTTGTTTGAAAATCTTCACAGGACTGATCATCTAAAACACAAAGCTTGTTTCTAATTGAGTTTATGGGTGGTGTGAATGCCAGCCACTTTTGTTTCCACCTTGTTAAGAATTCTGCGTGAACTGGTTTCCGAGGCTCCTTCCTTGAATGGAAGTACTACTAACGATTTGGATTCCTTGTTGTTGGTGTTGTCATTGTCTTGTGCACGTTTGAAATGAATATCGTTATTATTAATATTACTATTATTATCCCTATCCCTACTATGATTATTTATTTCATTTTTAATTTCCCTATATTCTTTTTGACTGATTTATCAGGGTAATTATTAAGTTTCGTAGCTTCTCTTATATGCCTTACTTCCTGTCTTAGATTTTGTGCTCTATTGTCACTTAAACATTTTACCAATCCTATTTTTACTAAGATAGGATGGGATGATCTGAAGTTGAAATATCTGTTTGAATGTATGGGTTTAACTCCTCATCTTTTTTTCCTTTTAACGCTACAATCTAACGCTGGAAGCCCCACTTCCTGGCTTTGCAATTCATAAGTGAATTGAATTGCCTCCAACTTTGAGTTAATGTGTTCGAAAAATCTATCTATATCCTGTGTTCTAGGCACAGTGAATGTGAAACAAAACGCGGAAGATTTCCTCGTTGATTTCAGATAATTGGCTGTCCATCTTGTAGTTTTGATCCCTATCCATTCCATTGCCTGTATTTGAATCGATGCCGCTTAGGTGAGTGGAATAAGGCGATTTACTTCAAATTTCTCCCATTGATGGTGATGGTTTCTTATTTACCACTGCCGTTTCTGTGTTCACTTGAAGTCCTGTCTTTGCCACTTCTTCTGACAGCTTGTTGGTTTCCGCCTGTAGACCTTAAAAACTGTGTTTACGCTAGAAACTATTCATCTGCAAAGTCCAGATCTTCTACAGTTTTACTTTCGTTTCAACTCATTTTTGTCTTCTTTCTCTCACATAAGATCTGTAGCAAAATTCAGTTCACCACAATCAGGAATACCATCAATGATGGTGGGCGTCAGCCTTGTCAGACTCTTCTCTTCACTTTAAACGCTTCACCGAGTTTTGCACTGTGAATGATTTGACATTTGGAATGATCATATAGCTATTGCATCAGGTTTGTAAATGTTTGAGTCAGTCCCTAATTTTGAAGCAGTTTACAGATTACTTCATGGTGAAAGGACATGAAACACAATCGAACAGAGAAAACCATTTAGCTCTCCTGTACTGGATTTCCAATACGTTATAATTATGAAATGAAATTTTCATCTTTAGAATCTATTATACAATTATTCGTGTTAACCATACCGAACTCGGGAAATCACGAAATCACACCTAAACATCTGTTCACTCATTATATCCCTTGATAGGTTCTACAGTAAACATCTTCTTGCTGTTTACACTATCTTCTCAGAAATGCAATATTTAGCAGAAATAAAAAGACGATTCTCTTTAGGTAAGGAATGAATATGATGACATTAGATAGTTGGGGGGCGATCGGCTACAGGAAGCCTTGGATCTAGGTTTCGTGCTAGTGGGCACTCTTCAGCTGACGAGTTGACAGAGTTGCAGACACGCCTTGCTGATGAGTGCCCACTGGCACGAAACCTAGGTCCAAGTCTTTCTTCCGATTGCCGCCAACTATCTAATTTCATCAAATAAGTGTGCACCGTCAAGGCGAGCTACCTAGAATGGTGGTCATATTGCAAAACCTGACTGATAGAATTCAGTCTCCACCAAAGAAGGGACTAGACACATTACACTAGTTACTAGTATCCAATCAAAGGAATGAATATGTTGAATGGAATTATTGCAAATGCAGCATAATATATCACTATATTAGAAAACCCATCCAATGTAATATAGCTATGAACCAAACATTAAGGACTCCATACTGAAATAATTCTATTTGATAAAAGCACACAGTCATTAGGAATTATTTACTGATGGCATTTCAGGTACAATTTATCGCTCATAATAATATCAAAGCACTTACTTAATTTCTAGGCTTTGTTTATACAATTCCATTATTTCCTTTCCATTGATTCTTCTGTGGCAGTATTATTTCGCATATCTAAAGTATTGAGATCGTATCATTCTTATTGTATGTGGTGGGCGTAAAATCAATGAACCCATCTGGACGTAGGTAGAAGTCGATCATTGGATCATTGTTCATTGGTTTTAACCCACAATATTATTTATCGGTCAGTAAATTTTGATGAGCATATTATGCGAAAGTTAAGTAGACTTGTTCTCATATTCACGTTGACGCTTTTATTGCTTTTGAATTTAGAACAAGATGGCACATAAAAGTGTACTCATGTGCCCAGTTAACAATTCTTGGTCGTTGTTCAAGCGAATCGAAATCACATTTTCGCGATGTAATGTGGCGTTTTATTTTTGATACAACACCATATGAGAAAGCAGCAAATTATTTATGCCAACCATATAATCTACGTAGTAAGTGAGTTGTCGCATATTTTTTTGAAAAAATTGGTCATTTTCCTACAAACAAATCTTTATAAGATATCTAATCAAACATAAAGTGACGTGATTTGCCTCGTAGACTAACGGTGAGGAGTTTGGTGGTCATATTATCGAATAGTTATTAGGTATTTTAAAACACTAGTTAAGTAGCAATTTTGCACAACTTACGTTCCAGTTTGAAAATGGCACTTCAGGTTTGATGTTTTGAAGTTTTAGAAGAGTTGTTGTATGAAGTGGGAGTTTTATTTTCACGCCCTGTCTTTTCCGGGCTTACTACCGGCTTGGTGAGGTTTCAAGGCGTATTTCTACTAGGAATCGTATTCTGGAACTAATGATGCAATATTTAATAGCTCTTAATGTTTAGTGTTACCCCTCACTGACATAAATTGGTGACAAAATAATTTTAGATATTTTCATTTGACGATTGCCACAATAAGAATGCTTATTCAAATGAAACAGAATTGTATCCCCATGGGAACAAGTAACCATCATTAATTTGATGATATTGATGTTATAGTGTTGTATTAGAGTAAAATGTGGTTAAAAAGTATCACTTATTTGCAAAGCAAAAAAAAAATAAATCTTGTGGGCTAGATACACGTGAGATTTTTTAAAATGCAGTTAGATAGTATTTTCAGAAAGCTATGAGAAATAACTCAAATTTGTATAACTTCTAAATATTCTGGTGATAAACACCATTTAATTGTGCTACTATGAGTGATATAGTCCACTGAAGAATACTGATTTTTCTGGGTCCTAGACTCGAAACCCGGTGGGTGCGTACTGCTGAAGAGTCTCAGACTAGGAGGAAACAGATGTCCACTACTCTCAGGTTTTCCAATGGCTCTTCAACCAATGTCAGCTCATGATGAAATCCTGTAACTAATTTTTCTCTCGCAACAACAAAGAGATTATTTTTTCCCAATGTATGAAAAATGTTGTTGATTTACTTAAAAGCCGGAATTTTTCAGTTTTACTGTTTCTCCATCCAAATCTCCGCTAAACATATGTTTCACCGTAATTTTTCTATTTAAAATTTTATTCACTAATGAGATACATTGTGAAAATGGATCCTGATCACAGTAATTGCAGTAAATCAGGTGAAACGACACATTCACTGCAGTGCTAATTGGGTACATTTCTAGTTGAATCAAGGCTACCGGCGGCTTCACTTTCGTAGCGGCATAACTTTATGGACATTTGAATTGGACTAGATAATAGCAAATACGTTTGCTTATGTGTATCTCCCGTTTTACAATACAAAGCTGCCAATTACCATGGGGCTGCCAATCTATCCTTCAACATTAATTACAAAGTTAGGCGCGATTTTTTGAAAGTGAATTTTGGATTTTCCCGTCGATTGATTGGATTGAAGTGCTTGGTCTCAGGTTCACATGTCGGTTTCTAGTCCAGGTATTTCGACAATTTATGAGTATATAATTAGAATTTAATTGGTGGATGGTGACTTGCGGTGAAATCCAGGGTGCGCGTTTCGTCCTATTCGGTACTCGTTAGCTGGATGTACATGCATTCCCAAGGCACTGGGTTCGAGTCTTGGTGGGAACATCATTACTCACTGGGGAATGCAGGTACATCCAGATGACAAGTCCCAAATAGGACGAAGTGTGCATCCTGGATTCCGCTGTTAGTCATCTTCCGCCAATTAAATTCAAATTAGGCGAGATTTGTTAAACAATGAGGATCACATTTATGTGGCGCACTTCTGAAGACTCCAAAAATAGACCTTTGAAGTTGTTCGGTTTCCAACGGTTCTATAAATGATATTTGATCGTAAAAAACTACCTATTACTGACTGATGGACCTCAGTAGTTTAGAACCATCTATACCAACCAGTAGGGTTTGCTAGTCAGCTTCATGAAGTGATCTAAACATCAGATGGCCGTTTCGCTTGTCTAGAGTCGATCTCACCAGTGGCCTACTTGTTTTGACTCAGCTCAGAAAGCCGGATCATTTCGAATTATCAAGAAAATGGGTCATTTCTGTCGAGCTAGCAATCACTACTGGTCAATATGAGTGGCATGCAACTACTCTCTTCTCCATAAACCAGTAGTATGCGGTTTTATGCACCTACATCTGACTTCTTGATTACAATTAGTAAGGAGATGACCTACTGGGATCTGAATAACTGTAGCTTCGGAAGGAGAAATCCGGTTAAATTTCATCACGTCAAACTGTGTAAATTCGAAACTATGAAGTGAAGTCAGTTTGTAACGAAATCTGTAAACTCCGTCACCTGAACACCAACTTAATTTGCATCGGTGATTGATTTTAAGATGAAGTTTCTCGGTTTTGAACAGGGGGTCCTGAATGGTAGGTTCTGCTTATTCCTGTGTAGTATTCAACCACCGTAGAGTCTGATTATGTGATTTTGATTAGCGTTCAGAGGTATATTAACGATTGTGCTCACGAAATGACTGAAGAAAATTAAGCGGAATTAGTTAGGTTAACAGTACACGGAAATGCATAGTTCATAGCACATTAACGATTAGTTGATATATTAGATTGTTCTTTCATCTTGTAAATCGTTCAAGATGCTGATTTTACTAAAGGCTACATATTTTTATTATTGTCGGAATTTTCGAGATATTTGATATTTTAGATGTCGGATCACATGCTGACATTACTAAGAGAACCACTGGAAAACCACAGAGAACTTAAAGGCTATGTCATCCTAGTTTGGTACTCTTCAACATCACTCATTCACCAAGGTTCTCACCAAGGACCTTTTGGTTACAAGGCGATCGGGTCCAAGTGGTGCACCAGCTTTCCTTGTAATTGGAAGGTCCTGAGTTTGAACCCCAATTGGTAGATACTACTGAAAGTTCTAGAATGAAACAGCGTTCCAGTACTCTCTAGTTTCACGAGGATTCTCCAATTCAAAACAATTAGTCCTTTTTATAAATTTTGATAACATTATTAGAAGACGGAGATTATCTGAAAAATGTGATATATTTGCGCCATACATTTCGAACAATCTGATCACACATTTATTTGTCAAGTCAATATATATAGGAAAGTTAAATTAAACAATTATTGAATTGAATTTTTGATTTTCCCGTCGATTGATTGGACCGAAGTGTTCGGTCTCAGGTTGACATGTCGGCTTCTTGTGCAGATGCTTCGACGATGTCTGGGATTTGATTTGTATACAATTGGTGGATGGTGGCTAGCAGTGGAATCCAGGATGCGCATTTCGTCCTAATTGGGACATCCAGCTGACGAGTCCCAATTAGGACGAAATGCGCATCCTGGATTCCACTGCTAGCCACCATCCATTAAATTAAACAAAGTGACAAAAAAGAATTAAGAATAATTAACACACCGTTTGGTAATCCAATCAAATACGGATTACCAAGGTAGGTTAAGAGTAGTAATAAACTGTTTTTGAATACCCAAGGGGGGGAGGCTTAAGTTTATGAATAGCTGTAGCTTCAGCGTATTTCAATAAGCACCCTTGACCGTTTCTATAGATGACCTTAAAGGCTGAGTTAACATCAGTCTTATGGTTCATCTCAATTAGATGTTTAGCTATAGACGAATTTGGTAGTTTGACACCTGCATCTATTGGCTTGTCACAATTCATCTGTTTTTCTAACCGTTTTAGGATATGCTCTCCCACCGTCACGTGCAAAGTGTGATTACTCCTCCCTATGTATGTATGTCCACACACACACACACACACACACGAAAATTGGTAAATTGTGTGTGATGTGATATAATCACTTGTGTACTTTTGAGGTTTACGGTGATTCTCCAATTGATGTCAGTTCGTGACCAAACTCGTAACCAAATCAATCTCTGCAAACCAACGTGTGATATTTGATATATACCTAAGCTTATGGTAATCTCAATTCAAACGCACTATCTACATAGTTAAATCCTTACACGTTTTTCACCATTTTATTATAAATATGAATTATTACTCAATAGCTGACTGAAAACATTTCATTCATTTACAGTTTTTAGGCATCATCTTGATAATTGTTTATTCATACATGAGTCACAAGTGGAGAAATGTTCTAAAGACTATTCAAATCTTTTGTCGAAAACGCATTTACAACTGGCTAACAGTAATCCGGTGAATTCACGCAATGCCGATGAATATGCAAATTATATGAAATCAGTACTCAGTGCAACGTATTGCAGGTAGGTTGATTTATGAAATATAAAATAGATAGATTATAATGTTTCAAACTAGAAAAATCTAGTGTGAAAATTCTGTGCATAGATTTTGATAAAGCACGCATTAGAGTCAGTTTTTTGAGTGTCTCCAAAGCCTCAGGATGGTCGGGGGTGGGTGCCTTGCGCTGCGGGTTGGCCACCCCTCCGCACACCTCTTGAAATGCTCCCATATGACCGGGCGTCTTACATAGCCTCTCCTGAGGAAGTCCTACTCACTGCCTTCACGTGGCGGAGGTGTTTCTCACCAAAGTGAGAGGGCGAAAGCGGATGCCCGGCGCTCTCCACCGGGTTGACTGTCCATTGGATGACGGTCTAGGGGAGATGGCTAAACCCTGATTCCAAACCTCCAACGACTGGCGTATGAAGCTCACTGGAGCTCACCGGCAGACGTATGGACAAAGGGCTTGTTGGATGTCCTGGATGTCTGGCCCCATTCAAAAAGGCGTATGAACCGAACTCCGGTCACCGGCTGTCAATGGATAGTGGACTCCTTACTCCACTCCTACTGCCTTGTAGGTCACACTTGGCTGTGTAAAGGCTAGAGCTGCACTCTCAAACAAAAGGCCGAGCGATGCTGGGGACATCACTCGTACCAAATTCCCATGAAACTTCATGAACTCTCTTACAAATTGCCGCGCCTGGGCAGCGATGATTCGAGACGTTCATGAAGCCGGCTCATCCTCCCGTAGGAGATAGCCGAAGTAAAAGAAAAAAAGAAGAAGTTTTTTGAGTCAACATATATCATATAGAATTCAAACTTTTTGCTAAGATATTCTTTTCGACGAAGTCATCAACTAAAGCTGTGCATTCGTGTATTTATATCAAATGGATGGGAAAGTTCCAGAATAATTTCTGGTCAAGGGTCAAATTAATAGAATTACAATTAGGAATTAAAATGTCACAATAAACAAGGGGACGAATAAAGCTCAGACAAAGTAGCATCATAATTACTGAGAAAACTGACATGTTGTGCAATTGGTGGTGAGAAATGTAGAAATAACAATAATAGACAAGATGTTTGGATGAAAAAATCTAGTGAGATCATAACCAATGTGATGAACAATTGTTTATGCAGTCAGGGATTAAATATGTGGAAATAATAAAATGACAAAATAGACAGGAAGTTCAGATATGAAAATATGGTAAGGTAAATAGGGATTTAGAAAAACTTAAAATAACATGAATAAACAGGAAGTTTGGATAAAAAAAGGCGATAGGATAGCCACTATTAGAAGAATCACCTGTTTGTGAAGGCTACGGCAGAGACGTATTTCTTTTGCATACAAAGTGTGGGTTTGAGCTGTTGGGTACCTAGTTTCTTGGCTATGCCAAGATGTCTTAATTTTACTCCCTTTGGTAGGTTTTATTGAATCTTGTATATTATTTTCAAGGATTTTTCGAATGGCGCTGAATGTCGTGAATTGACCAGATGTTCTGATATATGCACGTTTATTCCCCATGATCAAATGTGTATCATTCTGTGACCGAAACGTCAAGGAAATAGCTTGAAGACTTGTTTGTGTTTCTCTCGGAACTCAGAGGAGTGAATTAACTATCTCAGTTTGATTTCAGTCTCAGAATGATTTTTCAGTCACCAGGCTTTCATGATTAAATTTAATTTGGTAGTCTGCATCATACCGTAGAATATACCCATCAGGATACTAAAGCCAAAAGAACAAGAAGTGCAGAAAAAAATATTTTCTTGGCATTTTCAACCTAAAAAGCTATACAATCGCATTTATATACATAGTTTCACATAGTTATAATTATTATTAATTTCAAGATAGTAACGGAAGAAAAACACAGCTGGTTATAATTTTCGGCTTGATATGAAAGTCTGAAGGTATAAATATTGATCACAACGGCTATAGAAACGAAACTACGCAAGTTTTGAAAAAAGTTGCTGACTATACAAATTAGTTTTGGAATTGATAGTGTTCTCTGAGCTCCTTGGTTTAATTGCGGAGCTTTCATCGTCTTTCTGGACGACATCTTCAGCGCAGTATTTAGGATAAAGTGAAATGATTTAAATTTCTTCATGAGTCTCCCGATAGAAAAAGGGAGATAAAATTAACACCATTTACAAAATAAATTGTGTGAACTGTAACAAACATTACATCGGCCAAAGTGGGCGTCCCCTTCGAATAAGAATCCAGGAACACAAATCAGCCGTGAAAAGACATGATATAAATTCTTTAGTATCAATACATTCAGACGATCATGGACATCAATTTGATTGGGATAATGTCAAAATCTTAAACAGAGGAAACACCAAATGTGCCAGAGAATTCCTAGAAGCCTGGTACTCAAATGAAAACGCAATTAATAAACACGTTAATATAGATGAAATATACCAACTAATAAGAAGTAAATCAGGTGATCAGAAAGTTTAAAATCCCAATCAATAGAAAACTGTCAATAAATATCTAAAGATGGTTACCGGGAGACTCATGAAGAAATTTAAATCATTTCACTTTATCCTAAATACTGCGCTGAAGATGTCTTCCAGAAAGACGATGAAAGCTCCGCAGTTAAACCAAGGAGCTCAGAGAACACTATTAATTCCAAATCATCCACCTGAGTTACAAATCTTTTCTATTATACAAATTAGTTGTAAAGAAAGAGAGGTGAGCGCCGGATAGGCCCAGAAACAAATTGGAACGACAATTTTCATAACTAAAATAGAAAATTTGAAAGGAATGAAAAAAAAACCCAAGGAGTAGAATCGAACCACATTCATTTTAAATGTAGAGATTGGACGAGTTTATTCTAGACGCATAGCTCTGGTTCCTCGATGCATATGTCAAGGACTTCTGAAGTGCAAAGAAGTTGAAAACGCAATGCATTTTGCCAGACTTTTGTTCACTTTGCAAATGGTTCTGAATGACGAGTGAGTCGGAATGCTATATATGATAGTTGAGAGCAATCCGCAGGGAGTCTTCAAACTTAGTTTCATGACACTTTACATTCGCCAGTCGGAAGCTTGAAGAAATTCATGCGCCTTCTGAGATTCACATCAGTGGTATTCAGTGCTGCAGTCACATATGTTATTCTTGGACTATTTGGGCTAACGATTCGAACCCTAATGGACTGTGTTATTACTTTGATTGGACACTAACGAGTAAATAATGCAATATGTCTAGTCAATGGTTGAAGTAGACCAGAGGTGATCACTAGCCACTTTAAATGGTGGCAGACTTGAGTGATAAAATTCATTCTGCATCGAACAATGGACTAGACACATTACACTAGTTACTAAGTGGTATCCAATCAAAGGTACCGAAATGCGATGATGGGTGCTGACTTGACACAGTGTTGCCTTCTTTGAAATTATTTTGGATAGTGTTCTCTAACAAGTTTTGAAATGATACACTTAAAAACGACCTATATACCTAGCTTCATAGGAACAGGTGAGTTGATATGTTTTGCATAGTACTCAACTATTTCCTGATCCTATGCAATTTTGTTACTATGCCCCATATGATCTCTATTCACACTTCCAAACATTCATACCAAGGTGAAAATTATTATCGTCTTCAATCTCTCTCTACGTTAGTGAGTTGAATTAAATAATATGCATTGTAGCTATATAAATTTATTTTTCAAGAGTTTAATTTGTAAGGATTAGATTTGTTTACACGAGTTTGACCACGGATTGATATCAGTTAGAGAAGCATTGAAAACCAGCACTGGAGTACTGGACAGCTGCTGTTTCATTCTAGTCTGGGAATCATTGGCTTGCTTTGTAACCAGAATGTCCTGAGTTCAAACTCCAGTGGGTCCCAAGTGCCGATTATTTCCAACCACTAGAATGAAACAGCAGCTATCCAGTACTCCAGTGCTGGTTTTCAGTGCTTCTCTAACTGATATCAATCCGTAGTCAAACTCATTTATAAACTTATGTCTAAAAATGTTACTGTACGACATTTGAGGATGAAATCATTGAAAAAATCCTTTATTAGCTTCCTCTTTTAATTTTTATAGTTAAAAAGTCTAAATGTAGGGAGTTTACGATAATCTCTCTATGGCTTTCATAACATGTATTCGTCAAACATACAAAATATTATGATGTAATTGCACGATACATTTCCAACAATCTGATCACACAAATTTACTTGTCAAGTCAATTTATAAGAAAAATAAAATGTCAGTTAAAGTACACCAAGTGAAAAAAGGATTTTAGAATAAGAATAACTAACACTATGTTCGCCTATGTGTAATCAGAAATGAGTTACCAGGTAAGATTATGACTAATAATAAATTGCTTTTGTACACACATAACTGGGGTGGGGGTGGGGGGTGGTGGAGTGTCAGTTTGATGGATAGCTGTCGCCTCAGTGGATTTCAATAAAAAAAAAAGAAACAACATATTTGCAGGATGATACGAGCTCGTCCCACTTCACCAATTTTCTTCAGCTGCTTACATCCCAAATAAATCAATTATAATGCATTACAAAATTTCTGAACATACATTTTACAATGACTTCAGGTTATAGATAGAAAGTATGAGCAACATAATTCCAAAGATAGTGTAAGTAGACAATTATTTAGTGTTGAAAGAGTAACTGTCTATATAATAATAAAACAAGGAGGTATAGTTCAGATTTCACTTGGAAACAAAGATAAACTAGAGACAAAATAGAAGATAGAACAACCTAGTTAACTTAATCATATTATGGTGGGGAGTTCAGGAAGGTGGGAGTGAACAGTGAGGAAAAATTATAAAATAGATAAAATAATTTAATTACATAGATTTGGGACCTTAGTAGCGAGTTCAATTTCAGTGAGTGAAAACAAAATCACGATTTAATGGAATGTTTTGCAACGGGACAAAACACAAAAGCACACGATTAAAGCAATAACGGTTACGAGGGTAGTGAGAGATTAGTTATATTCTCTTTCTTTATGCATGGGTTGGTTAAAGGTCTTTTGTTAGCAGTGGTTTCTGCCAACCGAAGTAACCATGCTTTTCTTAGTGTAGTGATTATTTTGAAAGCTAGATCAATCTCCACTGTGTGTCCCGAGTCAGTGAGATGTCTGGTGATTGCACTTGACAATACTTTACTGTCTTGAAAACGGAAACTCTTAGGGATATGCTCGTGGAATCTAGTGGACGCTTCCTATCAGTCCTCCCTTTGTACTGCTGCCACAAGTGCAGAAGTATTGGTAAATGCAGTTGGAACTGACATGCGGAGCAGGATACTTATCTACTTTTGATTGAATTAACGAGCATTCTATGTTGTAAAGTGGGATGAGTCTGCAAAGGGAAATTTTTTTAATGCATTTTTAATTCTGTTTTAGGTTCTTATGAATACTGCTTCACTTTTGTACACTAGAGAGAAGAAAACTGGTTTCTCTTCATCTATTTCAGGTTTCGGTATAGGTAAATCAAAAAGCACCCATAACGTTGAAAGCTGTTTTGACATCAATCTTGTAATTCTTATCGATTAATTGTTTAGCTGTAGACAAGGTTGGTCAAAGACATATATCCTTTAACATTTTCAATTGATGTAGAAGGCAGTTGTTTTCAAAGCTAAGAGGCTGTTCTATCCCTGAGAAAGATGCTTTTATCAAATTACCACAAAATGGAGAAACAAAGTAGTAGAATTTTAACACAGAGACTTAATTTGGTCAACCCTAGAACCTACTAAGCAGCTCGGCTTATTATTATTAAAAACATCGAAAATTTGTTCTACTACAAGCCCCAGCGTCGCACAAGTGATTATGTTACAACTCATATTATATACCAGTTTGCATGTGGTGTTTATCATCATACGTGTGTAGGCAGTAGTCATAAGTGGATGTGGGGATAAAAGAGTATATTGTCAAATGCTTAGAGAAACAAACGAAATGTGAAAAACCGATAAACACAGGTGACAGAACACCAGTTTCGTCTACAGATAAACAGTTAATCGATATAAATCACAAGATTGATATCAAAACGACTTTTATGGTTATCCATGGAAACACTCATGGGCGCTTATTCAAATACGCTGAGGCAATAGCTACTCGTAAACTGACCCCCCCCCAACACGTTTCCTGTGTGTACAGAAATAGTTTATTATTACTCTAAACCTACCCCGGTATTCCTTATTTCATGCTCATCAGTGATTGGTTACAGGATACGTTGACTGGAGTTCTACTGAGAAGTCATGCGCATCAGGTTAGAGGTGACGAACGACATTGGGTGATGGTTGCGTTTAATCCCCAAGTTGATAGAAGTTAGAATTTACTGGCCATTGGATAGGGTCTTGCGTTGTGGTCAGAAGGTTCTAGGCTCGAACTCCAGGAAGAACCAGCATTCCAGTAATCCTTGGTTCTGAAATATTTCTCTAAATGGTATCAGTCTGTGGTCAAACTTGAGATCAATCAGAACTCTACAAACTATTCTTGATTGGACACTATTAACTAGTGTGATGTATCTAGTCCTTTCTTTAGTGGAGACTGAATTCTATCAGTTAAGTTTGCAATGTGGCCGTCATGCCACTAAGTAGCTCGTTATCACGGTGCACATTGATCTGATGATATTAGATAATTGGAGGCAGTCGGCAGGAAGCCTTGCACCTACGTTTCATGCTAGTTGGCACTTACCAGTTAGCAAAACGTATCTAAAACCTTGAAGGAACTTATGTCCCTCCTGAGATTCGAACACGCGCCACCCAGTGCTGCAGTCAGAGACGTTACCACACTATTCTTGAAAATGCTTATCCTATCATATAACAAACCTTAGTGGTGATTCTACTTCTTATTTTACAATCCTTCTTCACTTTATTTATTTTATGGCTGATTTCACCATGAGCTGACATCAGTTAGAGAACCACTGGAAAACCTGGGAGTACTGGACAGCTGTTTCGTCCTAGTTTGGGACTCTTCAGCGGTACGCTCATGGTGAAGTCATACATAAAACCATCAAAATCCCTACAAAACCAATACTTGAAAATTATTTATTTTAACTGATATTTTATTGTGCATATAAATTGACTTGAGAAGTAAATATCTAAGGGACCATACTGCTGGATGTGTATTTCGTAACTACATCATAACATTTTTCAGATAATCTTAACTGTCTTCTAATAACACTATCGAAAAGGAATAAAAAAACGGACTAATCATTTTAAGTCTTTTCCTTTTCCCAAAAATCCTTTTCAGTGGAACATTAGCAAAAATCGATTGTATCAAAAGCATTCTCAGCGGTCATTGTGCTAATGATATCATTGAATTAATTCAGAATTATTTTCGTGAAACATTACCAAGTGGATGTGAAAAGACAGTTCGATCAGTTGGCTATTTAAAACAACAGAATGTTACAAATGAAACAGATAGTAGTGCTGATATGATTATGAATGATTTTCAAATAGCCTATATTAAATCGTATACAGGTGAAGATTTTGATAGAACTAATCAACACTTCAATAGAGCAGATGTTGCTCCTAAAGAAATTCAAAAATCAATAGAAATGCATACAAATGAAAGTGTCACAAATTCGAGTATTCTTGCTGTAGAAAAAGTTTCATCTCATGAGAAAAATCATTGCGTTAAACTATCCTTCCATGTGACACTATTTATTTCAATACTGACGACAAAACTGGTAGACTACGCTCTCAGTGCTGTGCAGTCATTATGATCTCTGACCATCTGTGATCCAATAGTTATCTGAAATATCAAGGCAACTGTTGCATTTGTAACTAACTTTGCAAAGTTTTATTATACAGAAATGAGAATATCTAAGAGCATTTCTTGAAAATGTTCTGTTTGAAGCCACATTAATGGATATATACGCATTCATCCATTCATCCATGCCCTATGTGAAAGGATCAGCTGAAGACCTCTGTAGAAATACAAAGTTCATAAGCGCAGCAATTTAAGAATTTTGTTTTAATTTCTAATAATTCATCTTTTCGTTAATCAACAAACAATGAAAAACTCCACTATTTTGTTTAATTGTGAATTATTGTACAGCTAAGAGATGGCAAGCATTTTATGTGATAAGAAGAGTGTATGAGGCAAGAAACGCCTAACGTACTGTGAAACGTTAAGTGAATGGCCCTTTTAACTCTTTCTTTCTTTCTTTCATTATTATCTACGGTTGTTAATATTATCGATGTAAATGTCCTGTTAAATTATTTTCCCCTCCGTCGTACTATGTAAATGTAAAGAGAAAGATAGATGCAATATTGTACTAAATGCTAACAATTCCACGTTGTATAAAAATGTACTGTTTTGGAATAGATCCATTATTACCATTAATACTATTCAGAATTGCTTATATTCGTGTTTAAAAAAGACTCATGAGACTGACTGACTGACAAAGACAACAGAAATTCTTTTTTCTAAAAATGACAACTCTTCAAAATGACATTGTTTCGCGTTTCCAATTATGTAATAATGTTCTGTGTAAGAAAAGGCGTTAAGCGAAGAGTTGCTCATCCTATTAGCGGTATCATTCTCAACCTCTACAACCGGATACATAGGAGAAATATTCCCATTTAGACATTAAGAAAACAAAATGTGTATATATGTTTGTTAAAAATAATTACTCAGTATCAACCTGTCAATGGGGTGATAATGAATAGACACAATTAAAAAGTAGAAATGGTCGCAACACGTGGATTGCGTAATGCATAATTTTGGAAAAAATTAAGATTAGTTAATGAATAAGCGTATGCTCAAGTTGATTATGTAAGAGATTGTGAAATAAAATAAGACAATGTGGACAATGATAACGTGTAATTAAAGATGAATTATTTTGATAGCGTCATTAGAAGACGGAGATTATCTGAAAAATAATGTTATGTATTTGCGCCATACATTTCGAACAATCTGACCACACATTTATTTGTCAAGTCAATATATATGGGAAAGTTAAATTAAACAAAGTGACAAAAAAGAATTAAGAATAATTAACACACCGTTTGGTAATCCAATCAAATACGGATTACCAAGGTAGGTTAAGAGAAATAACAAACTTTTATAAGTCATAAGACATTTGCTATTCTCATATGAACTGTGATCAAGATTTGACCGGATAGTTACAAAATAAGTGAGATCTTTATGAATATAATATAATTTAATTTTTTATAAATTTGTTATTCTCTCCATAAGAAGACGTAGGCAATCGGGAATTTGACCAAGTGTGACTACTTGTTCATACATATCAAATTTTATTTTATTTATTATTCAGGATTTGCCATGCATCAGCTAACATCACACCTTCACGTCTGTTTAAACTGTTGGGATTCACCCATATATGTAGGGCTTCTGCGGTCAGTCTTGCCTGATATGAACCAAAACCTTTCTGTAAAACCTTAGTTTTATCAAAGTCGATTTTGTGTCCCGTTTCTATTGAATGTAGTGCAATCACTGAGTTGTTTCCTAGCTTCTTCAAGTCTGCAGAGCACCCACACACACACATACACACACACCATTGTATCCTGCGTATCCTGCATATACACATATATTCTAACAAAAGTAGACAAATTTTGAAAGTCTGACGTCAAAAAGTTTTTGATCATAGTTCATACGATTTTTGTTTTGTTTAGTATACCTATTGATTCATATTGAAAAAAAAAATAAGAGATGTACTTTTATATAAACATACAATTCTATTTATTCCCATTTATAATATTAGAACAAGACATATAAGCGAACAATATTGTTTTCAATTAGATCTTCTTCAGGCTTTACTCTAATTTACACAGATTTATATATATAAAATTTTAACCAATGACGGTGATTTAGTGGATCAAATAATAATCGTAATCATAATAATAATAATAATCATAATAATAATAGTAATAATAATGTGGTAAATGTTTTGAACGAAGTTAATAGCGATGATTATAATAATAACAAAATATTGTTAATAAGGCTTATATAGGTGATAAGAATAACAAAGTTTGTCTGAATCGTGTAATGTATTTGCGCAACACATTTCGAACAATCTGATCACACACGGACTTGTCATAGGAATATATATATATAAAATTAATAAAGAGGTAAGAGGTGAGAAAAATAGACTTAGGTCAAGTTAAAAGGACATATTCAAGGTCAAAAAATAAAAATGAAGACCACTAAACCAAATAGCAGAGGTAATAGTACATCTGCTATGGTATCAAAACAAAATTTACCAAGGAAGGTTTAATGTAATGACAAATTGTTTTTGAACACATAAAGGTGGCTTGAACTTTCTAATTGCTAGGGCTTCTACAAACTTTAGGATACGCCCCAAACACGTTTTATAGATAGGTTTAAAAGATCTGTTAACATCAATTTTATGACCTGTCTCTATAATATGTTTCGCAATAGAAGAGCTAGGTCTCCTGTTCTCACCGTTAATAGGTTCTGATGATTCCATTTGTTTCTGGAGCCATTTTGGAATATGCTCTGAAGCCCTTACTTGCAGAGATCGATGAGTCCTCCCTATGTATGTGTGTCCACACGTACATTCAAATTGGTAAATACAGTGGGATGTGACGTCATTTTTCGCATGTTCGAAGGGCTTAGATAGATATAATGGCTTTACATTCTCTAATATTATGATATTAGCTGCATAAAAAGTCTTTTTAACAGCAGCGTTCAGCCTTTGTCTAGTTATCAAGCTGCTTTGATGTCCCATATAGGGTAGCTTGATGTACACGTCTTTCTTAGGGGCGAGTTGGAGAGTGGGTCTTGGTGTTCTGACTACTTTATATCTCCTGATGAACTTTTCTGGATAATTGTTATCAACCAGAGTTTGTGTCAAAATTCTTTCTTCTTCATCAAGCGTGTCTTCAGTGCATATTCGTCGGATTCTACTGAAGAGGCACCTTACTAAGCCTCTTTTGTACCGAATAGGGCAGAAACTGTGGTAATTAAGATACTGTCCTGTCCAGGTAGGTTTTCTATAAATAGATCTTTTTATTGACCCATCAAGCCGTCGACTAAGCAATATGTCTAGGAAAGATAAACAATTATCTTCCTCTTCTACAGATGTAAGTGATATGCTATTCTGAACTTCATTCATTCGATTTAAAATTGAGGTGGCAGAACAAGGCTTATCACTGATGACTACGATATCATCTACATACCTTCTATAAAGTGGCACATTTTCGATTAAATCTTCCGATAAATTCTCAATGTACGACATATAAATATCTGCTAAAAGGGGCCCTAACGGACTGCCCATAGCAACACCATCAACTTGGCGGAAACAGTCACCTTCAAATGTAAACCTAACATTGTTAGTACATAGAAGTAATAAATCTTTTAAGTAAGATATAGGGAACGGGATGAAAAAATTGTTTGTGGAAATATAATCACACAAAATGTCAACTGTTTTGATCAAAGGCACATTAGTGAATAACGAGTTTACATCAAAAGAGTACATATTCTTGTTCATAATATTAATATTACTATCATCAAGAACATCAACCAATTCAAATGTATCTTTCCTAGACATATTGCTTAGTCGACGGCTTGATGGGTCAATAAAAAGATCTATTTATAGAAAACCTACCTGGACAGGACAGTATCTTAACTACCACAGTTTCTGCCCTATTCGGTACAAAAGAGGCTTAGTAAGGTGCCTCTTCAGTAGAATCCGACGAATATGCACTGAAGACACGCTTGATGAAGAAGAAAGAATTTTGACACAAACTCTGGTTGATAACAATTATCCAGAAAAGTTCATCAGGAGATATAAAGTAGTCAGAACACCAAGACCCACTCTCCAACTCGCCCCTAAGAAAGACGTGTACATCAAGCTACCCTATATGGGACATCAAAACAGCTTGATAACTAGACAAAGGCTGAACGCTGCTGTTAAAAAGACTTTTTATGCAGCTAATATCATAATATTAGAGAATGTAAAGCCATTATATCTATCTAAGCCCTTCGAACATGCGAAAAATGACGTCACATCCCACTGTATTTACCAATTTGAATGTACGTGTGGACACACATACATAGGGAGGACTCATCGATCTCTGCAAGTAAGGGCTTCAGAGCATATTCCAAAATGGCTCCAGAAACAAATGGAATCATCAGAACCTATTAACGGTGAGAACAGGAGACCTAGCTCTTCTATTGCGAAACATATTATAGAGACAGGTCATAAAATTGATGTTAACAGATCTTTTAAACCTATCTATAAAACGTGTTTGGGGCGTATCCTAAAGTTTGTAGAAGCCCTAGCAATTAGAAAGTTCAAGCCACCTTTATGTGTTCAAAAACAATTTGTCATTACATTAAACCTTCCTTGGTAAATTTTGTTTTGATACCATAGCAGATGTACTATTACCTCTGCTATTTGGTTTAGTGGTCTTCATTTTTATTTTTTGACCTTGAATATGTCCTTTTAACTTGACCTAAGTCTATTTTTCTCACCTCTTACCTCTTTATTAATTTATTATATATATATTCCTATGACAAGTCCGTGTGTGATCAGATTGTTCGAAATGTGTTGCGCAAATACATTACACGATTCAGACAAATTACGTCTTCTTATTGCTTTATCTAAATTCATAAAGGGAACTAATTGTTTTAAATAACAAAGTTAGTATATGCATATATGTAGACAATTTACACTTAGCCGAAGCTATGGGAATTCGAGAGAACAATCCTAGTCTTTGTATACAAAAGAAATTTGTTCTACCTTTGTCTCTCCCTTGGCCTAGGTGAATTCTATTCAAAACCCTCCCACCCTTTCTTATCATCCCTCTCCTTCGTACTTTTATGATATTTATTTAAACTCTGATTATCGTTCCATTTGATGTGACCTAATTTATTTATTTATTGAATTGTCTACATATATGCATATACTAACTTTGTTATTCTTATCACCTATATAAGCCTTATTAACAATATTTTGTCATTATTATAATCATCGCTATTAACTTCGTTCAAAACATTTACCACATTATTATTACTATTATTATTATGATTATTATTATTATTATGATTACGATTATTATTTGATCCACTAAATCACCGTCATTGGTTAAAATTTTATATATATAAGTCTATGTAAATTAGAGTAAAGCCTGAAGAAGATCTAATTGAAAACAATATTGTTCGCTTATATGTCTTGTTCTAATTCTATTTATTTATTTATGATACATATTGATACCTGTTGCACGATTCATGATTGGACAAGAATTTTAAAAACAAGATGTGTCCCTTTATATATAAACTTTGTTATGTTAATTTCGATTAATTTCCCTGAAGAAGTTCGGACCAGATTGCCGAACGAAACGTTGGAATTAATCATTTCAGTTTCGCTGAGATTTTACAAATATAATTTTATTAATGTCTACTTCTCACTCA